CACAAGCTAAGAATAGTTTTTACATTTTTACATGTTTAACAAAACCAAAACAAAACAAAGAAGCATATGTGACAGAGACCATCTGTAGCCTACAAAGCCTAAAACACTTAATATCCTACCCTTTCAGAAAAAGTGTGCAGACCCCTGGTCTAGATGGACACAAGTGGCAAGATTCACTCACTGTGTGTGTGTGAGAGTGTACGAGATGCATGTACGTGTGCGTATACAGAACAGCAGATCTGTTATTTTCAAATGCCATTGACTATAAGGCCTGGGAAGACTGGGACTGTCTTTCACATCTTTCTTATTTGTCACCATATCCCTTAAGCCTAGGTCACTGCCTGCAACACAGTGGGCATTCAATAAGTAGTCACTGAATGAGTACACTGAATTTTGTACAAATCAATCATTTCTAGGCCATAAGTAAGAAAAGCCTTGAAATCTAAAAAAGAAGACGGTATAGGCTGTAGAGCAATCTAATCATATTCAGTAACAATCTTCTACAGCTCTTAAATATCTTATACAGATCTTTATTGTCATGGACAGGGCTCCAAGATGTCTTTTTAAGTAAAGTCATATAATCATTCATATAATCCTGTTTGTGTAAAAAAGAGAAAAAAATGCCCAAATCATATGTGATCTATGTAAAAAGCCTGCCAAGACTGAAAACGTATTATTTATAGAACTGTATCTGAGAACTGAAGGTTGAGGTACTTTTGTTTTCAATAATTCTGTATTTTTTTTCTTCACATGAGCAATTATTTATTTTTTTAAAGAAGTAAATATGTAAAAGAGCTTTTTTCTTTCACACAGTTTTCTTTATCTTTTGATACCTTCCATCAATTATATATAGAGCAAAATCTAAAGAAGATAAAATCTGATTTAGCACGGAATTATACATTAGTTCCTGTACATCCAGCATATTAATTAGTTCAAAGTGTTCTTTATGGAATATCATGATAAAATGACTATATTTGAGAAGAAGCAGCTTAGTTTATGTGACTAGATGGCTGTATCTAAGATAGAACTAAATATATCTATCTGCTGTATACTGGCAATAAATCAGCTCAAAAATCAAGAAGGGACTTGGAATAACTACACACTGAGATCCGCGGCAGGTTATAAAAAAATAAAGACCAGTTGGAAAGGTACCAAATTTTACATGGGTTTTAATTTATATAAAAGATAGCTTGCTCTAAAAACAATTATTTTCCCCTTTGACTGCACTTTAAAATCACGTGGGAAACTTTAAAAAAGGACCTCTGCCTGGGCGCCCCCCCGACAAGCACCATTAAATAGGACTCTCTGGTGGCAGGACCTGGGTGTTGGCGTATTTCCTAAACTCCTCGCTATTCTAAGCAGAATTGAGAACCACTGCTTTGAAAGGATTAATGGATTTTCTAGTTTGAGTTATGTGTGGTAGTTTTATTTTTAGCTAATAAAAGAAAGTAGAAACAGCATGCTAGTAGCTTATCTTGACTATGGCTTGTGTCCAGGGGCTGTGGCACATTGCTGTCAACTGCTACAGGAAAAACAAACTGACAGTTCCTTTATTTTGAGGGGTAAGCAGATGCTCTTTGAAAGCCAAATTTACAAGACTGAAAACATAAGGTAAAGGTAAATGTCATAACAGCAAATAGATGAGCCAATATCATGGTCTCAGACTTGTGACTTTGCACAGGATTAACTGTGCCATCATAAATGGCTGCAGCACACAGCAACGCGTTCTTACCTATTGAAAATCATCTGCAGGGCCTCCTCGAAACGGCGAAGAACTTTAGGAGGGCTTGGCCACTTCACGTGCTTCCCGTAGTCTCTCATGGTCTTGACGCCGTGGAAGCGTCTGGCCACCTCGTGGATGTATGACTTCACTTTGTAGCGCCGGTAGTACCTGATTATGGTCAGAGCTGCCTTGGTTCTCTTGTACCGCATGCGGGCCAGGGTGCCCCGCCACACCTTCACAATAGAGAAAAAAAAGGAAAACGTTGGCTGGCTGAGTTGTGGATGGCTTTGACATTATAGCATCTCTTGTACTTAGAAACTGAACCAGGCAACTTGCAATTGTGCACAGTATCAACCAGAGCCAAAGCATGTCAGTTCCACCTGCCACCAACAGATGGCGCGGGGAGTCACGTCAGTCATTTTGTTTCAGCTGTCTAGCTGCTCATTATTCTACACTGAAGTGTGTGCTGAGCCTGAAACTGACTCCTGTTTTTAACTTTACTGTCATGAAAAGAAGAAAGCCAAAAATGCAAATATCTTTGGATAAATATTTTAGGAATGCTGAAGGGAAGCGAGATGAGTCAGAACATCATGCCATAAGCATCTATAGTTTTCTTGTGAATCTTAACTTTACATAGATTATACATGCTGGCCACTGGTATAATGCCACTTTGGATTTACAAACTGATTTACACACAGCCTGTGCACCTCCTCTCCCGTGGCACTATGCAAATGCTCAAGGATTAGATGTATTCATGGGGAAAGGGTAAAACAGATTACGTACTAATATATGAATCTTTGTTAAAAGTTTCTCAGGGCCCAGAAATCAATGAGAGACTACATAAACGTCTCAATGCCAATTTCACCCAAGCATGGAAAAATCAGAGATACTTATATTTTTTTAGGATCTTTGTCCAGGTATCCGTATTTCTCTACTTCTCAGGCAAAAGCAAATTTGGTGCATCTTCAATTAATCACTGGTTCTTCCCCTATATATCCTCTCCACCATCACTTCACTCCTTCTTTCACAATATTTCAGTGTAAACTCCTTTCTTCCCCTTTCTGCTACCAGTCTCCAAGAGGCCAAACAACCCTAGTTACTTTCTTCAATGAATTCTGTATACATATCACCATCATGCCCCAGTATATTTACTGCTGCCACTTAAATAACCGTTCCAGTTCTTAGGTTGATTGTATTATTTCTCTCTCTGACTTTTCAGAGCCAAGATCTTCAACCTCTAGTTCAAAGCCCACAGTACGGGTTCTGTGGACTCCCTCGAGTTTCTTTTATTTCTTCTTAAAAATCCCCATCTGTACCCACTAATTCCTCCCAGCAAAACTTGCGCAATGCCTCATTTGACTCAGTTGTTTTAGGTTTGTCCTCATTCGGACTCCTGAATGGACACCATGTGCTTGCAGTGCTCTCCCTTTTCAGCCTGCTGCACAATAAAGATAGATTTGTTTGCACACTACATGCAGGAGGTGATCAAGGGACCCCAATGGGTCAAGAAAAACCATAATATTTAAGGGAAACATGACATATGGACAATTTGTGATGGTAATCTAGAGTTCACATATAAATAGAATCTTTCAAGACAATGAGGCAATAAAAACTGACTCCTCATCTCACGTGGCGTCAGTACAGCAGCCCTTTTTAGTCAAAATGGCTCCCCGCCTTGTAGCTGAATCCACTGTACAGATGGCTTTGTTACGCCTCCACCCAAGTGCAAAAATAAAGGTCCCTTCTTTAGTATCTTGAAAAACCAAAAAAAAAATACAATTATAGGGTGAAAGTATGTGATTTACTTTCTTAGACAAAACACATTTTTAAAGATTCCTACTGTTTGTTGCTGTTTTTTCTAAGGGAAGGAATTTAAGACCACCTGGAGCCACATCTATATAGGAAATCAATCTTTAATTTTCAAGAAGTGTTTTATAGAGCTTTCTGTTAGAATGTTTTTGGTTAGATTCTTTAGCAAATTGAAAAAAAACATTTAATAAGTAAGTACTTTTTAAGCAGTACTTTGTTTTCTTTTAAAAGAAACCACTTTATAAAGGGGGTCTTTCTTGATAACCTTTATAATTTCATCTGTGTTGGTTTATTTAGGTTTTTAATAGTTGAAAAAAATCAAATAGCACAAACATGCATATAATACAAGACAGGGGCTCTTCACCCATTGAACAGGGGCTCTTCTCTTCACCCATCGAAACCCATTGCCCTACCTCCAGTCTCTGTCCACACAAACTATTTTAGATGCTTCATCCAGTACTTTTCATAAATAATATGGCTAGGAGCCCTAGCCATATTATTTATGAAAAGTACTGTAATCCCAGCACTCTGGAAGGCTGAGGTGGGAGGATCACTTGAGCCCAGGAGTTCGAAATCACTTGAGCCCAGCTAGGTGCGGTGGCTCCTAGCCATATTATTTATGAAAAGTGCCTGTAATCCCAGCACTCTGGAAGGCTGAGGTGGGAGGATCACTTGAGCCCAGGAGTTCGAAACCAGCCTGGGCAACATGGCAAAACCCTGTCTCTATGAAAAATACAGAAAAATTAGCTGGGTGTGGTGGTGTGCACCTGTAGTCTCAGCTACTGAGGAGGTTGAGGTGGGAGGATTGCCTGAGTTCAGGAAGTTGAGGATACCGTATGAGATCACACCACTGTACTCCAGCCTGGGTGATAGAAGTGAGACCCTGTCTCAAACAAAACAAAATAAAACCCCCAAAACCATATATACTATGATTTCTTGGTTGACCTTTTACACGCTATTGAAATCACACAAAATGGAGATTTAGCTCTCCCACCATCATTCTCACTTCTCCTCTATCCTCCCAATGATAGTTCAAGTATGTTGACATTATTACATATATTAACTTTATTATATATTGAATAATTTACATATGATATGGATATGTCATATTGCAGCATATTATATATTACACATATATTTGGTTTCCTGTTGTGCTAAGGAATCTGAATGTTCTTTCTTTATGTGTATTTGTTTTTACCTGTCATTAGTAACTGCCTTGTTTTTAAAATTTGCTTTATTTACTAGACACCTATTGCTAATTTCTGCCAAATGCTCTTACAGACCCATCAAGTGATTAGAAATAATTTTTCTGCTTGTCAAGCACATTAACTGAAATTTTTTTTTTTTTTTTTTTAAATTCCCTGTATCCCTATGTTCTTTAAGCCCACTGAACAGTTCCCTGTCCTGGAACTTTTTAAACTACTCTTCCATGTTGGAGCTGAGTTTTGAGCTTATATCTTTCTTTTTCTTGCTTTTCTTCGCTCCTCTTCCCCAGCAGCTTTCAAGAAAAGGTGTATGGCCAATACATTTGTATTCTCTTAAATTTCCTTGAAAGTAAAAAGCAGTTGCCTAAAATGTTGTCTATTTCTTGAGTTATAAAAGCAGAGTAGCTGAGAGGCAGCTCTGGACTCAGACTGCCTGTTTTCAAATCCTGGTCCCACTCTTAAGAGCTGTGTAAACTTGGGCAAACTTCTTAACTCCTCTGTGCCTTAGTTTTCTTAGCTGTAAAATGGGGATAATTGTGATGCTTACCTTGTAGTGTTGTGAGGACTAATGGAGTTAATACATACACAACACTTAAAATAGTGCCTGGTGGGTAGTCAGTGCTCAATAAGCAGAGGCTGTTACAACTATTGGAAAGTCTATTCCTTTTACCTTTAGTGAGTTGTGCTACTTTCTTTTTTTGCATGTGCAGATATTTTGCCTCCATCACATGTCGGTATGACCTGAAAACTGCTTAGTAGATGTAAGTCATTCTTTCTCAGTATGCCATTTGCCCCCAAATAGTTCCTGATTTGATATTGCTTTATTCTTCCACCTATGATATGGACTGGATGTTTTTTATTCTTTCACCTATGATATGGACTGGAAAATTCCTTATCCATTTAGTTGCCTAAGAAGAGAGGAGAGCGTGCAGGGGCTTTAAGTAACTGCCAGCAAGGTCTTCATTCTGTGAAATAAATGCATCAGAGGTTTGCTTCACCACATCCGGGTTGTATCACAGGCTTCTGGCTTGTTATAGGCCCAAGTGTTCCTTTTCCATGTCTAGTGGAGCTTTCCTTGGTTCGGCTGTAATAATCATTGCCTGTACATGATTTCCTAATTTTACATCCAGTTATTGATATATCAGACGCAGGAAAGACGGCAAACCTTACCTACTCTTCTTGCTTGTTAAAGAAGTCTTCTTGATGAAAGAAAGGGTCCCCAATGAACGTATGGGGTGTTCTAAGCCCTTCTGCTGGTACACCTTTATACTCAATGTAGCACCTTCAAAAGCAGTAAAATTTTTCAGGATTCCCTCCTTGTACTTCTCCATGCTCCACTCTTCTCTTTGAAGAATGTATCGATTTTTTTTTTTTTTTTAAGCATCTTCTTTCAATTTGGCCCAAGTTTTCTTTTTTTGGATGACACTTCTCAAAGTTTATGGTATGAAGTTGGAATCTTTTCTTGGTTTCAGGGTTGATGGCATGTTCTTTGTTATTTTTACATTTGATATTTGTTAATCTTACACAATTCTGTGGGAAGGGAATTTTGTGAACCTGCACCAACTTTATCAGAAGTCCCTTAAGCTCTATTTTTTTTTTTTTTAACATCAAAGGATAAGCATTGAAAACTACAGAGGAAAATGATTTTACAGGAAACATGATTCATGCATTTTTCCTTATAATCTAAGTATATTTGGTTTAAACAGATATGCTTCCATAAAAGTTTGTGTGTATGTGTGGCAGAAGGGTTGTTGGTTGGTTTTGCCACCAAGGGTCTGCAGGTTTGGAATTTAAGGTATAAGACAGATTTTCTTGTTTTCTCTCTCTGTTTAAAGCAGCTTAAACTGTTGAGTTTTTCAAGAGTCATACAAAGCTTACCTCTGTAAAGGACTCTGCCTGATGACAGAGCTTCAGAAAGCAGAAAATTAAATGTTATATTAAAAAACAAGTGCTTAATACTTATTTGCATATGCCTAAGAGGTTTAGCAAACAACAAGGGAGGCAAAAGAGGCCCTGCTTCTAACAATATTAACACAAAAGCAGAACCAGCCAGATGTAACGTGCTTTAGGATATGAGGCCAGAGGAGCGGGAGCCGAAGGACCTGTGAGGTGAAGTCAGCAGAGGATATCGGGTAGAGAGCATACTGACAGAGAAGCAAGCGAGGGACCATTTCTCAGAAAAGAGGACGGCAGCAAACAGAGAGGCCTGCTCAGAGGGAACAACGAAGGTATAAACAAAGGACTCCGGCATGGCATTGCACACATCCTTGAAATTGAGATGCCAATTCTCAACACAGCAGCCAGAGTGATCCTTTTAAGACAACAGTCAGATCATGTCACTTCTCTGCTCAAACTCTGCAGTGGCTCTCCTTTTCCCTCAGCAGAAAAGCCAAAGTCCTTCCCATAGCCTCCATGGCCCCATGTGGTCTGGCACTGTCTCCTCCCCACCTCATCTCCCGCTGTCCTCTCCCCTGCTTGCTCCTGCCACACTGGCCTCCCTGCTGGACCTGGCACAGGCCAAGCACTCTCTTATCTCAGGGTCTTTGGGCTAGTTGCTCCCTCTGCCTGGAATAATCTGCTCCCAGCCATCAGATGGCTGACTTCCTCACCCTCTGCATCTTTGCTCAGTTGTCACGTTCTCAAGGGAGGCCAGTCCTGGCCTTCTTATTTAAAAGTTCAACTTATCTCCATTCCCGCCTCCCAGCACTCTTGATTCTCCTTACCATGCTCTGCTCTTCTTTTTCCCCCCGAGCACTCAACCCCTTCCAATATACCATGTAACCTACATATTACGGTGTTGATTATGCTCGCTTGCACTAGAATTGAAGGGTTACTAGGCTGGGACTCTTTGTCTGTTTTGCTTACTGATGTATTTCCACTGTCTGGAACAATGTCAAGGATCTAGTAACTAGTCGATAATATTTGCTGAATGAATGAATGCGTTCTACTTCATCTTCCAAGCCTGATATTGATCTTTCACTTCGGCTATCATGTTTTCCATCTTCAAGAGCTCATCCTTGCTCTTGTAATATTTCTTTTAAAAGTACGTTGGGCTGCCGGGCGTGGTGGCTCAAGCCTGTAATCCCAGCACTTTGGGAGGCCGAGGTGGGTGGATCACGAGGTCAAGAGATCGAGACCATCCTGGTCAACATGGTGAAACCCCGTCTCTACTAAAAATACAAAACATTAGTTGGGTATGGTGGCGCATGCCTGTAATCTCAGCTACTCAGGAGGTTGAGGCAGGAGAATTGCCTGAACCCAGGAGGCGGAGGTTGTGGTGAGCCGAGATCGCGCCATTGCACTCCAGCCTGGGTAACAAGAGCGAAACTCCATCTCAAAAAAAAAAAAAAAAAAAAGTATGTTGGGCTTACTTTATGAGTGCAACATCTCATCCTGCGAGTATATGACTTATGGTTTTATTTTTTGCACTGTTCCTTGTATTGCACCTGTTACCTCTAAATCCCCAATTCTCCTATTTGTCTTAGTCTTGGCCTTGCCCAAGGCCTTCCTCAAACGCATAGGGATTGTTGGCCCTCCACTCACACTGCAGGGTGAACAGCACTTGGAAGCTCTGTGTAAGTGCTTCGTGGATGGGGAACTTCACTATAGGGTGATTAGGTTGGGACTAGCCATCTGCGGGGAACCCCAGAATGTCAAGATCATGAAGTGTTTCCTCTTCCTGCTAGAATCCTCAGAGTGAAGGGCCTGGGGTAGGTGGTGGGGGGAATCTTACTCCTCAGTATCTACACTTTCACTTAATATCCTTAGTCTCAATATGGTACCTGACTCCTCTCCTCCACTGAGCCTGATGTCCCCAAGCTCAGAACTTCTCTAAGTCCTGTTCAAGTTATTCAGACAGGAAACCTCTTGCCATCTATCAGAATGAGGCTGAGGTTGTCCCTTAGCTTTGTGAGGTCTGGGGAAAGACCTGCTGTCTAATTCCTCTTTATGTAGATTTTAACCAACCTCCCCTTTCAGGGCCACCCCTCATCCCTACCTACAGAGGCACCCAGTCCTTACCAGTCTGGAGTCTTTCTACAGCCCTAGGGTCAGTTGAACTGGCTTGTTTGCCTTGTTCTCTGTAGGCACTTGCCTGGGGGAGTAACTCATTTACTTACTTCTAAACTTATACTGACACCTCTTGTCTGCTATTGTTTCCACTATAGTACTTTATCCTTGTGGGTTTATCCAATCTTTATTCCTTTTCTGCTCTTTTTTCTTTTTACTTATTATTTTTTTTATAGGCTAGTCAAGTGAAGCAGTGAGAGTGGAGAAGGAACAAAGAAATCTGTAACTGGTTGTGATCAATTAGCTGTAAACACCACTGCACTTGGACCAGCCCCTTTTCTGCTTTTTTCGGGATGTTGAGAGTGAGTATAAACACAACTGTCATGTTTAACCACGTTTCATAATGCCATCTTAATTCCATCACTTTTTCTTCTGGTGCATACTTCTTCAGTGGTCAGATGTTTCAAAGCAACATCTAACAGTCATTAAGTACAAAATAAACTTTGTAAAAAAAGTAGGATTCTAGGTTACACTCTATTAAGATGTAGGGCAATTACGTATCTTCCATTTAGTCCCAGAATCAAACACAGGTCAGCTTTCCTTTTTTCCCTAGTTCCCTATGTTTTGTTTTTAAAAATTCTAGTCATTGTGGGCATTGCAGCTCCTTCTGTGTTGTTGTCAATACAAATCCCTACCTCACAGCCCCCTGGTGCTCTGAATTAGACATTCTCTTGGTTTCCACAAATAGAATCCTTCAACGTTTCAGCTCCCAGCTTCTCAGGTCCTCCACACCTAAGGACAATTTTTAGAAGCATCTTTCTTCCATTTCTACCTTTAAGTTCCCCATATGATTATTTGGGCAAAGTGCTGACACCTTATGGTTGTTAAAAAGTTGTGGTAGAGGAGAGTTTATTTATGTAAATAATGAACTCCAGTTGAATGAATGCTGAACAAATTGTAAATTTACCAAATTTTGTATGCACACATTGCATCAAATTTGAATATGACAGTTGCATACAATTTGGGGTATTTGATGATTGATTGATGAAGGGTGTGGCCCCTTCTAAGAGCTATTTTAAAGGAAAACTCAAAGATAGAAAAATCTTTCTGAGTTATTCCTTTTCCATCTCTATAAGGGACAAAATAAATAAAGACCTGATGTGCTATTTTAAAAATGCTGGTGCTCATGTTTTTACCAGAATAGCAGGTTAATACGTACCAAGAAGAAAATAAAATCCAGTGAATAGAATTTATAGGCTTTTAGCATAATTCCTGACACAAAATTCCTTAGTTTTACAGATAAATTAGTAAAATTTTGGAAGACATAGCGGAAATCTAAGACACAAGAAAAACAAATCTTTAGTCAATAAACAAATGTAAAATCATTGAAATGAAGAGTCACACACATACAAAAAGTACATGTGAGTCTGATCTTTACAAGTGACCCTGATAAACTCAACTACTGCAGGTGGTGGTATTGGTATGTGTTTGGTGGAACATAGTTTAGAAGTGACCACCCCTGAGCTGCCTTACCTTGGTCTGGGAGACTAACTTGCCGAGTTACTTGACCTGTGAACCTTCGTTTAGGACATGTCCATTTTATATATATGGCCTTGTCCAGACCCATTAACCTTGCAATTTTTTAGTGTACACAATTGCTGCCTATGAACGATTTGTTCACTATGATGATGACGGGATCTGACAGCCTCCTTATAACTGTAATTTCAAGAAGTAATTGAACCTTTTGGTCAATTACTATCAGAAGAACAGCCCAACAGCAACACTATTGAAACCCAAATTGCAATTATTTTGCGGACAAATGAAAATAAAATTACTCCAGATAATAGGTTAAATAATTCTGATGGACCTTCCAGGATTCAATCTTGTAAACACTTTGTGGAGCTGTAGGAAAGTGACAGCTTTCTTTTGTTTGGTTTTGTTTGCTTAAAAGAGAAGGTAAAAACTTGGTAATTCATCTTCAAAATCTCTCAAGGCTATCTTTAAACTGCATTTTGATGCAGAACTACAGAGTTTTGGTCAAGTGTTTGAGCGACTGAGCAGATCCAAAGTGGTGTCTGAAAATATTTCAGCTTTTTCAGGAGACTCCAACAGCCTCTACCATCCCCAGATCTACCTTGGTCTGGAACCGAGGTGGCTTACCACCTGGTAAAGAGTACAGGTCAGGCTTTGACCTTGTGTGACAAACGCCTAGGATTCAAAACACATAGTACTCCTTAAAAATAACAGATTATTATTTTTATAATAATACATATAAATCTTTATAGAAAGATTCTAGACTGGAAAGGACTGGTGCCTCTGTAGGTAGGAATGAGGGATGGCCCTGAAAGAGGAGGTTGGTTAAAATCTATGTAAAGAGGAATTAGACATTAGGTCTTTCCCCAGACCTCACAAAGCTAAGGGACAACCTCAGCCTCATTCTGATAGATAGCAAGAAGTTTCCTGTCTGAATAAATTGAGTATACATTTGCTTTAGGTGTTTGAAAATGATTTCAATTTCGACTAATTCCTTAGATTGCCGAAATAATTGATATTTGAAAGGACCAGCTAAAGGTATACCCTACCATTGATTTCACAGAGTTCTTAAAGTGCATTCTGGAACACAGGGCTTTTGGAATGCTCCCTCAAAAGTGGTTCCATTTTTCAGTTAAGTTTGGAAAAGCTGCATATTGCAATTCCTTTGTGGAGATTCATGGTGTATATGAGCATATTAGATGCTCTGAGAATTTCTATATAAATCTAATTTATTAGAATTGGAAAAAAAAAACCACAGGTGACTACAGGTTTCTTTGTACACAGACTACTAATTTTGAAGGGGATCAGGATATGCCACCCAAAATTATGCCACTCTGGAGTAAGGATTATTTTGAGCTAAAGACAACTAAGATACAGTAGATGCAGGAAAAGCTCTCTGCCCTTCTCCTATTTGCCTATAAAGTATATATTTCTCATGAGAAAAGTGCCCTCTCCTTGTACTAGGAAGACAAGAACACTCTTATCACCAGAGAGGAGGTCACATCCAGATGAGCTATATAAATAGGTCTTACTAAAATAACCTTTATCATCCATTACTTCCTCTCATGCAGTTCCTAGTCACTTCCCCACAATTTTTTGGCTCTAGAATCCCAGATCCCCTACCTCATGGCCAGTCATATTTTTATTGGCTTTCTTTAAAATGGTAAATAAGACCCTGAGTCTACCACTTCTTTAGGCTTTTCACTTCTTTTTTGTGAAGTTCTGTGCATATAAAATACTCACATCAGTAAAAGTTGTATGCCTATTCTCCAGTTAATCTGTCTTTTCTGAGTTAAATGTGCAGGCCCCAGGCACTGAATCTAAGCAGGTAGAGGAAGTTTTTTCCTTCTCTACAATTTCCAAAGAGCCAGGTTCTATCCTTTTGGGAAGCAATGAAATGAAACAAAATAAAAGAATTATTCAAATAATAAGATAAATAGTAATTATACCAGAAAACCTACACTATGAAAAGCTATTGTGTATGAAACTTACTTTAGTTTAAAGTCAAAGCAAAAAGGGAAATGGGGTATTTTATACTTTATACACATTTTATTAAGCTAATAAAAGGCATATACATTTGTCAGGAAAGGCATTTTCTTTTTTTCTGTTTTTTCTTTTTTTTTTTTTAAGATGGACTCTCACTCTGTTGTCCAGGCTGGAGTTGCAGTGGCATGATCTTGGCTCACTGCAATCTCCATCTCCTGGATTTTAGCGATTCTCCTGCCTCAGCCTCCTGAGTAGCCTGGGATTATAGGTGTGCACCACCATGCCTGGCTGATTTTTTTTTTTTTAGAGATGGGGTTTTGCTATGTATGCCAGGCTGGTTTTGAACTGCTGACCTCAAGCGATCTGCCCTTTTTGGCCTCCCAAAGTGCTGTGATTACAGGCTTGAGCCACTGTACCCAGCTGAAAGACATTTTCTTAAACTGAGTAAGCTTATAGAAAATAGTATTGTATCAGCATTAATTTTCTGATTTTGATAATTATACAATGGTTACA